TTTATATTTCTCGCTAATTAAAAAGTAATTAATAATGCAAAATCATTTCTCACAAGTTGTGAAAAATTTCATCGTTTGGTATATAAGAACAGTTTGCTTCTAAACTTTCAGTGTTATAAGCGTGCGTTTCTACGTGTAGTTATTAAGTATGCGAATATATATGCAAGTCTAGGGTTGTTAGGTTATATGCGTTAAAATGCGGAAATGTGTCAGTCTTAAGTGTTAACAAAGCATCGAACTGTGCAATAAAAAAATATGTTTATTCTGTGGCAAAATAGTGTCTAAAGTTACCTATAAATTGTAAAAAAGTTTAATTTTTTTTCTGTTCATCTAACCATTTTTAATAGTCATAGAAAATTTAATAGACAGTTTTCTAAATTTTAGTGAATGAGTTTTGTATATTGGTTAACAGTTTATGAAAGTTTCGTTAAATGTTTTCGAAATTCGGAATGCACTGTCTGCTAAAATGTCGATTCCTTGTACACGGAGAAAAATGGAGTTTAAAAAACTGGGAGTCAATATTGAAAAACAGGACTCAGTCCAGTAAAAGTACATTAATTTATTTCCATCAAGCATCTTAGGGTATTGCGTATAGTGTATAGAGGGCCTTACTATCCGCGAGAAAATGATAGGCCCCTGAAAAATGTTCGAATTTGACTTGAAATATCTCTGTTAAAAAATTATTTGAAAAAAATGAGAAATATTTTTGGAAAGCGTGGAATCTTATATGTTTGTATACGAAAGGCCAATATTGGAAAAAAAATTTTGCACCGTACAGGTGCAGAATTACATCACAGTGTACCCCATTTTTCGACATTTTAAAAAAAGGTCGACTTTGGTACAAGATTTTACACGGAAGCGATTATTCAAAAAATTCGAAAAAAGAACTATTTATTAACTGAATCTGTCCAAACGAATTTGCTTTATAATTATTAAAAAATCTTAATTATTATTGTATTTATTAACAATAACAGGAGACAATGTTATCTCTGGTTCTTATAGTCTAATTGAAATAAATCAAATTGGAAGTTGTGAATAATTAATCTTTTTATTATCTTAGCTGATTAAGAAAAACGAAATTCTTCTATTAATTACATTTTTCAACATTTATTTGGACAGTTTTTTTTTCTTGAGAACAAGTGTAAAACGGTTGCAAAAACCAAATATTTTTCGACAAAATCTTAACCCTGTTATAAATAAAAATCTAGGATGCACTGTATAGCCTATGTGAAAAAAATTCTAAGCTTTGTTCTGAGTCCACATTTTGGAGAAGTTCGTAGTATTATTTATGACAGGGTTAAGATTTTGTCGAAAAAAACTGTCCAAATAAATGTTGAAAAATGTAATTAATAGAAGAATTTCGTTTTTCTTAATCAGCTAAGATAATAAAAAGATTAATTATTTACAACTTTCAATTCGATTTATTTCAATTAGACTATTAGAACCAGAGATAACATTGTCTCCTGTTATTGTTAATAAATACAATCATAATTAAGATTTATTAATAATTATGAAGCAGATTCGTTTTGACAGATTCAGTTAATAAGTAGTTCTTTTTTCGAATTTTTTGAATAATCGCTTCCGTGTAAAATCTTGTACCAAAGTTGACCATTTTTGAAACTGTCAAAAAATGGGGTACACTGTGATGTAATTTTGCACCTGTACGGTACAAAATTTTTTTTTCAATATTATCCTTTCGTATACAAATATATGAGATTCCACAGTTGCCAAAAATATGTCTCATTTTTTTCAAATAATTTTTTTAACAGAGATATTTCAAGTCAAATTCGAACATTTTTCAGGGGCCTATCATTTTCTCGCCGATAGTAGTTCCAAATGTCACTGTAAAGGGCATTGAAACACAGGCGAAGATTATAAGGCGCGCTGCAGTGTGCATAGTAGAGAAACTGGACTCAGTCCTCTACTTCGAAATTATCACAATAAAGGAACGCAGGCGCGGAACCTGTCAAAATAAATGACCGACGCGTCGCGAAACGAGTGTTTCCTTTCATTTTCTTCGTCAATTTTATATAAAAAAACAATAACCAATCATTAAAAAAGAGAAAAATATGTTAAATGAACTCTTTATATATTCATATTCATTAATTCACAATTTTTATTCTTCCCACATTTTCATACTTACAATTAACGACTAAGTGCATCGGAAAATCTTACAATCATACGGGATTGAACACCTACCTAACCATAAAACTAAATATACGCATAATTATAAATCGCAGGCTTTTACATTAAGCCTCTCGGCACGCAGTCGATAAGGGAAATTTCCTATTTAAGAAACATCCCTTACAAATGAAATAAATTAGATCATGCGTGAATTTTACTTTTGTAATTAATGTAAGTATGGGTGGATTCCACGTCAGTTCAACACACTTATTTTCATGACTTATTGGGATTTGGCTGTACTTTTGTATATTCATTACTTTTATAGTGATAAACAACTCCACCAAATATTTTTTCAAAATTTTGAAAATTACCAAAAATATGTCATTTTCAAAATTTTTGTCTTTTTTTTAAAGTGCTATAACTTTGGTTCTAATTAACCGATTTTGGATTTTAAAAAAGGATTTCTTTGGTTTTAAGTATATTTTAAGTTAAAATTAATATAAAAAAAATTGAAAAATTTTTGAGTTAAAATTTTACTAAATGTTAGGGCAAATGTGCTTTACATGTCCTGTTAGTTTCATCTTGGGATCTCAAAGGGATTTGGAGTAAAAAAATAAAACGTAACCACATATGACGAACATATGGGGCAAAATTCCTCAACTTCCCAGGTAAAAAAATGAATTTTCTCTAAACTTTGCTAAAATTTTACTATTATTAGTAGAAGTGTAAATATTAATTTTTTTTAATTTGATAAAATATTTTTTGAATTATGGGGTTTCAAAATTTTGATTTTTTTTAAATATCTTTTTTTCGATTTAATATATTGATAAGTAAAATTAATCAAATTTAAAGTATAAATAGTGATTTTTAAAGGGGTTTTCACGGGCTATAAGTTGGTGATGAAAAAAACTTGTTTTCTGTCAATTTGACCTTAAAATTCAAGGTCAAATTCTTAAATTCAATATACAGTAGAACCCGGTTAATACGATTTCCCGCTTAAGACGCTCATTTATGGTGTTCCCTACAATTAAAGACATACATTTTATATCCCACCTAATAGGTTTCCCGCATAAGACGCATTCTTAGTGCGGTGCCTACAGAATCGTATTAACCAAGTTCTACTGTATCACAAAATCGGTGTTTTTTTATTTTTTTGTAACCTATCCCAATCGAAAGCTTACCTTTTTCATATGAGCCATGTAAAAATTAGAGTGTATTATTTTCCTCAAAAATTCTCATGGTCCCGCTCTGATTTTTACATGGGTCATAGAAAAAAGGTCACTAGCTTATAGCCCGTGAAAAACCCCTATTCATACTTTAAATTTGATTAATTTTACTTATCAATATATTAAATCGAAAAAAATATATTTAAAAAAAATTAAAATTTTGAAACCCCATAATTCAAAAAATATTTTATCAAATTAAAAAAAATTAATATATACACTTCTACTAATAATAGAAACATTTTAGCAAAGTTTAGAGAAAATTCATTTTTTTACCTGGGCAGTTGAGGAATTTTGCCCCATATGTTCGTTATATGTGGTTACGTTTCATTTTTTTACTCCGAATCCCTTTGAGATCCCAAGATGAAACTTACAGGACATGTAAAGCACATTTGCCCTAACATTTAGTAAAATTTTTAAAAAAATCGAAGATGATGTTTTTTCAAAAACGGATTTTTAATTTTTCAAAATTAAAAAAAAAATTTTTGAATTTTTTTTATATTAATTTTAACTTAAAATATACTTAAAACCAAAGAAATCCTTTTTTTAAAATCCAAAATCGGTTAATTAGAACCAAAGTTATAGCACTTTCAAAAAAAGACAAAAATTTTGAAAATGCCATATTTTTGGTAATTTTCAAAATTTTGAAAAAATATTTTGTGGAGTTGTTTATCACTATATAAGTAATAAATTTACAAAATTACAGCCAACTCCCAACAAGTCATGAAAATAAGTGTGTTGAACTGACGTGGGATCCACCCGCGTTCTTTTAACAATTACATGAGGAAGTAATTTCTCATTCCAATTTTTTATACTCTTATTCCCTCTTAGACTATATAAACAGTCTTGTTTAAGCTGATGAATGGGATAACTTGTGTTGAGTCCCAAAGTGTTCAGCTATGAAACTTCTAATGCTATAGTGTGTACTTGTCAGATATTATTCTATAAAGGAGTACTACACTGACTGCATAAATCATTTTTCTCCGTGTATTTAACATCTGTTTGTAATATAACAGAAGATAAGGAATCATTGAATAGAATGGGTCAGGATTAAAAAATCACAAAGAATTCTTGGAATTATATCAACTTTTATTATTGACAAATTACTTACGTTGTCTTTCTTCAATGAAAGACGAAGAAGAACAACAATCAAACTATTTAACGACGATAGTAATAATAATTATAACAATGACACTAAGAAGGGATCGGCGCACTGAACACTTTCACTGTTGAAAGAAGACTGATCCCCTCCATATGAGCTCCTGCCCTTTTAGGAAAATTGTGGAAAAATCTATGACGCATCAAAATACAACAATTCTCAAGGACAACCAAAGAGAAATCGACAATAAAGATAAACAGACAGTAAAGTAAAGTTTCACACAAACAGTAAAGTACATTTAATACTAAACAACATCCCTTTGACATTCAGTAAAGGTTGATGACAGTTTTCTAAATTTCAGCAAACTTCTCGTCATTCATTGTAACTCAAAGAATTTTAATCATTCAAGGATTTTGTGTCCCGTCTCAAAGTAGAGATTTGTAGATTAGGTTTGGGGTTCATCCACTTGTTTCTTTGTTGCAATGTGTGAAGATATTGTAAAGACCAGCGCTTCCAGAAGTGATCTCGTAATGCTGTAATTAGCCGCCAATGGCTTAAACACTCAACTTATTTGAACTGCTTGGCTTAGGTACCTGTTTTAAACGTTTACCGATTAGTACATGGCCCGGTGTCAGGTAATCCAAATCATCTGGACCGCCTGTGATAGGCAGAAGAGGTCGGGAGTTCATGCAGGCTTCAATCTGAACCATTAGTGTAGATAATTCCTCAAAGGTAAGAGGAAGGGATCCAATAACCTTTCTCATAATGGATTTAGCGGATTTTATGTTCGCTTCCCACAAGCCTCCGAAATGGGAAGCTAAAGGAGGGATGAAGTTCCACTTTATTTGTTGATTAGCTAATGTGTTTTCCACTAAATTCCAATCGATTTCAGCCTCTCGTAACATAGAACGTAAGTCGGCATCAGCCCCGTGGAATGTTGTTGCATTGTCACTCCACAGTTCGTGAGGAATGCCGCGGCGTCCAACAAATCGTTGCAATGCACCCAAAAATGACTGAGTGGTAAGATCGCCGACCTCTTCAAGATGTACGGATTTTGAAGATAAACAAACAAAAAGAGCTATATAGCCCTTAACAGTTCGCGATCCACGTCCTGGTGTTCGTTTTACGGCAAAAGGCCCTGCGTAATCAATCCCAGTTTTCTCGAAAGGGAAACTTGGAGTAACTCTCTCGGGTGGGAGGTTCCCCATTAATTGTTCAGATTTTTGAGCACGATTTCGAGCGCAAGTGATGCAAGTGCGAATATGTGCTTTCACTTGAACTTTAGCTCGAATAAGCCAAGCTCTGCGAACTGCGTACGCGTAGGTTAGTTGGAACCCTCCGTGTAGGGCTGTGCGATAAGCCCAATCGATAAGAAGTCTGGACAATAAGCAGTTTCCATGCAAAATGACTGGATGGCGTTGGTCATAAGGTAATGGAGAATTAGCCAACCGCCCTCCAACTCTTACAATTCCATTCGAATCAATGAAGGGGTTCAATCGAGCCAGAGGAATCTTTTGTTGAAGGCGTTTTCCCTTTTAAAGAGTTTCTAGTTCTGTCTTCAAACTCTGATGTTGACTGTAATAAACGGTGGCCAGGAATGCGCGTTCGAGTTCTTCTGTATTGAGTAGTTGATGTAACAGTACGGTACGCTCAGGATTTGGTAAGAGAAGGTATTTTAAGCGTAAACAACGAGCTACGACTCTACAAAGTCGAGTCAAGGATGAAAAACTACTGAACAAACTACGATCATTGTGCGTATGAGCTATTGTAACAACAGACGGTTGTAGTTCATTTAATGTTTTAGGAGTTTCTTAGTGGAGTGAAGGAGAAGTTGGCCAATGAGCGTTGGAAAGAGATAGCCACTTTAGACCTCGCCACCATAATTTTTACTTAGTTAAATTATCCACAGTAGTACCTCGACTTGCAAAATCCGCAGGATTGTCTTTGCCTGGTACAAAGTGCCAGAAAACGTTCGGTGCCGTCCGTTGAATTTCGGAAACGCGGTTAGCTTTACAGATTGGTAATCAAGATGGATCGTTAGTCAGAATCCAACTTAAAGCATTCATGGAATCAGACCATGCGTGGATCGAAATGACATTTTTTCCTAATTCATCTTGTATTTTGTTGATGAGCTTAATCGTTAGTGCAGCAGCACAAAGCTCTAATTTCGGAATCTTGATCGTCTTAACCGGAGCGACGCGAGTTTTGGATGCTAAGAGGTGAGTATGTACAACTCCTTGGGAGGAACTGATTTTTGATATAAACGGCGGTAGCGAAGGCATATTGACTTGCGTCTCTAAAGCCATGAAGTTCGATTTCATCCCCTGGATTATAATTCACCCAGCGTGGGCAATGGATATTTTCGATATTTTATAATCCTGCTTGAAACGATTACCATCGGTAGAACAAAGGTTTGGGAATGGGCGTGTCCCAATCTACTTGTGCCTTCCAAAGATCTTGCATCAGAATTTTTGCGACGATAGTGATGGGACTAAGCCATCCTACAGGGTCGAAAAGTTTCGAAATAGCAGACAAGACCTTTCTCTTTATCATCAAGTTACTAATATTGATCACAGGAGCATTGAATCTAAATTCATCCTTAGATGGATCCCATAAGATTCCTAAAGCGTTGATAGGATTATCACTTTTAAACTCCCACTAACTTGGTCGCAATCGATCAAACTCAGGGATTTTGCTTAGCAAAAAAGCTAGATTTGACGCCCACATTTTTAGATGCATGCCTCCCGATTTTAGAATGTTGATTAATTGCCATTGGAGATTAAATGCCGAGGCTTCATTAGATGCACCCACGAAAAAATCATCCACATTAATATTTTTGAGATGGGCTTTGGAAGCATCAGGAAAAGTTTGAGCCTCATCAGCGGCTAGTTTCTGAAGAGTTCGAATGGCTAAGAAGAAAGAACACGACATTCCATATGTTAAGGTGAGTAATTGATAGTGGTTAATTGTTTCGGATCCAGGTGGTTGCCAAACAATTCTTTGAAGATCGATATCTCTCTCATCTACGAGAATTTATCGAAACATCATCTCGATGTCAGCGCAAAATGCTATTTTGAAGAATCTCCAGCGTGTAATGATGCCTACAAGATCATTTTGGAGTTTTGGCCCAGCGAAAAGAGTCTGATTTAGCGAAATTTTTGAAGATTTGTCAGAGGCATTAAAAACAACTCGTAATTTACGTTTTCCGTCCGCATCTTGCCAGATAGCGTGATGGGGAATGTAATTAATGGGACCAGTATTATCGCAAAGATCGGATGACTTAAGAAGACGCATGTGACCTCGAGATTAATATTCTAACATGAAGCGTTAATATTCTGATTTTAATGTAAGATCATTGGCCATTCGCTTTTGCATACTATCTGACACTCGCTTTGCTCTAGTTAAAGAATCTCCAAGATTTGTAGGGAAGTCTAACTGTTTAGGAAGACGCACGACATAACGTCCAGAATCAGTGCGTCGATATTCTTCAACAAATAATCGCTCACATATTTGATCGTTAATTGATGTTACAGGAGACAATCTAACTTCCTCAAACTCCCAAAATATTTTGAGGAGAGCAGGAAGCTGCTTGTCACAGCAAAGGTTCAAGGTCATAGCGGTCTGAGAATTAATGAATTCCTCAACTGGTCCAGTTACAACCCAACCAAAAACCGTTCGGAGCGCGATAGGTGATGTCAATGTATCTCGATGAATCCCCTCTAGAAGTAACATTCCATAACTAGCAGCTCCTAGTATTATATTCGCAGGTTGCGGAATTGTGAAGTCTGGGTCAGCTAGAAGGAGGTGTAGGAGATGTGGCCAGTTTTGTATAGAAATCTTTTGCGATGGGGCAGTGATACCAAATTTGCGGATAACTAAAGCGTTTACTTGAATAGTAGGGTGTCTAAAAAAAATAAAAAGTTTTTTTTTATTGGGTCTCATCCCCTAAAAATCTTTCAATTTGTGTAAAAATAAGAACACAATATTTGGAAATAAAAAATTTTAATATTAACCCGTGGTTCAGAGCCTTTGGACCATAAAAGCGTTAAAAATTTAGTGTTTTTTCATTTTTAACATAAATATAAATGTAAAATTAAAATGATTAGGGTGTCATTGTAAAGATAATTAAATTACCTTTCGATCCATATGTCATAGTATAAGATTCAATGAAAATTAAGAGTGTTACAGTTGATTAAAGATCAAATTTCATGGAAATTTTGATGATTTTTAGACACTTAAGTAACTAGTACTTTTTTCACATTAAACAGTAAAAAATATTTAGATTTTAATTTTTTTATTGAGAGTCTGTAACATTACAAAAATCCGTAATTTAATCGTCGATTAAATTCGTCTCAAAATCCGTTACCCGATTTTGAGACGAATTCGATCGACTTTTATGAAGTTCTCCGCCATTTTGAAATTTGAAAAACTGACATTGGACTCTAAATCAGCGACTTCAGTATTTTTTTATCACTGATTTTAGTAAGTTTAGTGGTTATATCTAAATTTATTGTTTCAATTTTTGCTCCAAATGTTGAAGGAATGATAAGAATAAAAAAAATAGTTTCCTTCACTAAATCTAGTGTATAATTGTCATTTTCAATCAAATCGAGGTCCACAAGGGCTAAAAATTTTCGTAATGTTACAGACTCTCAATAAAAAAATTAAAACCTAAATATTTTTTACTGTTTAATGTAAAAAAAATACAAGTTACTTGAGTGTCTAAAAAATAAAAATCATCAAAATTTTCATGAAATTTAATCTTTAATCGACTGTAACACTCTTAATTTTCATTGAATCTTATACTATGACATATGGATCAAAAGGTAATTTAATTATCTTTACAATGACACCCTATTCATTATATTTTGACATTTATATTTATGTTAAAAATGAAAAAACACTACATTTTTAGCGTTTCTATGGTTCAAAGGCTCTGAACCACGGGTTAATATTAAAATTTTTTATTTCCAAATATTGTGTTCTTATTTTTACACAAATTGAAAGATTTTTAGGGGATGAGACCCAATAAAAAAAAACTTTTTATTTTTTTGGGACACCCTATTGAATAGGTTCCTTGCCTGGTTTTAATCTCAAACTAAGCTTGTAACGAGCAAGGTCCACTTGTTTATTACCTAAAAAATTTACGGGAATATTGACGATATGTCTTAGAAGGTTTAAACTACGAACTAGAGTTTTGGACACGAAGCTACCTTCGGATCCAGGATCAAGAAGAGCTCAAGCTTTGATGTATTGATTTTCTGATGATTCGACATGAACTATGGCTGTAGCTATAAGACCTAGTCATAAGGAAGATGAAGGGTTTTCCTGAATCGATAATGAATCTGATTGGGAAGATGTAGGTGATTTTTTAGACGACGTGGGAGTTTTGTTTTCAGATGCTGCCCTTTTACGGGATACAGCATCGTGGATTGTTGTGTGATGTGTAGCCTTGCATACACGACAACGAGATTTCGATGGGCGTTTTGAAAAATTGTGACCTAGTTGCAAGCACTTAAAGCAGAGCGTCAATTAGCGAGTTTAGCCTTTAATTTTTCTGATTGCCGTAGATTTCGAGCCTTCCGCTTCTCGGTAGTGTTAAAGTTGGAGGGTCGACGTTTCGGCATCTATGGAAGCAATCAAGGTGAATTATATATATTTTGCATAAAATATCGGCTGGGTAAGGGTAAGGGATGAGCCGCGGGGAACGTGAGCTGTGGAGGTAGTAAGTAGTAAGGAGTAGCGAACCCGCGTAAGGACGTGAGTTCGGAATATGGAGGAAGCCTACGTAAGGACGTGAGCTTGGAGGGAAAGGAACGAACCCGCGTAAGAACGTGGGTTCAAAGGATAGAGGGAGCCCGCGTAAGGACGTGAGCTTGGAGGGATGGAACGAACCCGCATAAGAACGTGGGTTCGAAGGATGGAGGGAGCCCGCGTAAGGACGTGAGCTTGGAGGGTAAGAAACAATCCCGCGTAAGAACGTGAGCCCTGAGAGGAATAACGAACCCGCGTAAGAACGTAGAGTCCAGGAGGAATGATGAACCCGCGTAAAAACGTGGGGTTCGGAAGGAGTGTAGACAGACGAAGTGAAAGGTACTTACTGCAAATAAGACGCAGGGTGTAGTGTAGACGACACTTTAGTTCACTTTTAAGAAAGTACACTATGCGTAGGCGGAAATGACTGAGAGTGGTAGGCCCGTTTCGTCCCTTTTTATACCTAACGCAAAGGTTATAAAAAATCTGGTCCTTGGTGGGGGAGAATTTTTATAAACGGAGTTGAGATAAAAAAGGACATAAACAGCATAACTCTCTTGACAAAAATCTTACAAACTTAAAATTAGCTTATAATTACTTATAAACTAAACAATTAATTTCTAACCATTTTCTGGATAAAACTGCTGAAAAAGAGTAAAATTTTGATAACATAGAATTAACCAAATAACATAGAATGAATATAATTTTATCGTTAAACAAAATCTAATAAAATGTAATATAAAATAATGCGATATTAATTTTAAAATAATAGAAATTCTCAGAATCTAACATAGAACAATGTTACACGGAGAGAAAAAAAAGAGAGCCGTTTGATTTGGCAAGAGAGCGCTGTTTTCCCTTTATAAAGCACAGCAGTAGCGCCGCAAACGTCGAACGGTTATACTTTTTGAGGAGTATCGGTTCTCTTCTCCACACAAATAGAGCCGCTTACTTTCTAAACAGTGTACCCGCTTTCCCCAAAAAGGAGAACCGTTCTCCCCTCGAGATTAAGCAGCGTTCTTAACCTTAAGTTGAACGGCTGTTTCGCATTTAACGCAACCGCTCTACCGACGGGTAGAGCCATTTACTTTTTTTCTCTCCGTGTATATATAAGAATATGATATACACATAATACTGTAATGCAAAATTATTACATATTATATTATATTATAATATAATAAGATATAATTATATATACATAGTAGTACTATAGAGTATATTATACTATAATATATATTAATATTGGTACATAAAAAAATGTAAGTTTTTGGTAAAAGAATATTTAAAAGCGAATAAAAATCATAGTTTTTACACTAGAAAATACACGTTAAAACGGGCCCGGCGGAGCCTTGCTCGGGGTAAAGGAGAAAGGCGGAAGCAGGAAGTACCGTTGGAGAAAGGGAGAAAAGCGCTGTAGGAAAAGAGAGGGACAAGGCCGCCAGAAACCGGTTTTATAGTCAAGGTCTACTCTCAAGGGAGATACATGCAGTATTTAGGCAATATTTTGCGTTTCAGCAAGTTGTTTTCAACTAGAACCGTGGTTGTCAACCAGGTTTATTTCCTTATGCAAAAAGACCGGTATCATCATCTTGCAATTGATTGTCCCAATCGCGACGAGTAAGCAAGTCCATACTTCGAACTGCTAAAAAGGAAAACCAATCGTCCCAATATTCAACAGGTCGACCGATTGTTCCCAACGATTCCTTTCGTTTAACTAGTTCATCAAGAAGCTGTTGCAAGCCGGCTGCACTCTCTTCTTTCAGAACTTGAAGCTTGGTAAGGGCTTGAAAATGATCTCGAATCAGTAAACACTTATTATCATGTCGACTTAACAAAAGATTCCAAGCAATAGAGTAATTAGAATCCGTAATGGCCACCGAATCTAGAGCAGTTTTGGCTTCCCCCTGAACTAGCCCTTTTAAATAGTACAGTTTTTGTACAGGGTTTAAAGAAGAATCATTGTGAACTAAAGAAAGAAAAAGATCTCTAATGGCCTCCCAATCATCCCGCCGGTCTGAAAATGAGGGAAGATTAATTTTCGGTAAATGAGACTGATTAGTAGATCGAATGTTAATTGCGCGTTGAGATTCATTTCGCGTCCGATTTGATTTATTTCATTGTAGATATAACTAATTGTTTGGGTGAAATTACCTTCCGTGATAACAAACTGATTATCTGTAAAGTAAGGGTCATTTACCGCACTACTTCGTGTTGCAAGTTTTTGGTGGTTCTCGCGAAAGTTTGTGAAATATGAGTGAAGAAGTTCACTCTGACTTTGTAAATAACCGAGCGAGAGATCATCCGAATTTTGTTCCGGATTGATCGGGAGAAGAGCATTCTTAATGGCAAGAATTAATGACGCCAACGATGATTGACTGCGTAATAAGGAGATCAAAAATTATAAATGTATAAGAAATTCTTAACATAAATGATAACAATAATTTAATTAAACGACCAATGCCTTACTGCAGACGAAGCTGCAGCTTGACATCATCATTTAATTAAACAAGTGCCTGACACAAGGCGACTGCAGTATAGCAGCGAAATTTCATAAAAAAAGGATGCCTAGCTAGAGTCTGGTCTGCAGCATGGCAGCATTGTGTCTCAGTAAAATAATGTCAGAATCGAAACGACTGCAGCGTGACAGTACAATTTTCATTAACAAATGCCTAGCTAGAGGCTGTACTGTAGCTAGACAGTGCTATATCTCATAAAGATAATGCCTAAATCAAGGCGACTGCAGCACGGCAATGCAATTGTCATGAAGGAATGCCTAGCTAGAGACTTGTCTGCAGCTAGGTAGCTTTATATAATTACATTTAAACAATTTTACACTTTCCAAAATTCTCCGGATTTTTGTGAATCATGTCCCATCTCCAGCTCTAAGGACCAAAATGTTTGTGATATAACAGAAGATAAGGAATTATTGAATATAATGGGTCAGGATTAAAAAATCACAAAGAATTCTTGGAATTATATCAACTTTTATTATTGACAAATTACTTACGTTGTCTTTCTTCAATGAAAGACGAAGAAGAACAACAATCAAACTATTTAACGACGATAGTAATAATAATTATAACAATGACACTAAGAAGGAATCGGCGCACTGAACACTTTCACTGTTGAAAGAAGACTGATCCCCTCCATATGAGCCCTTTTAGGAAAATTGTGGAAAAATCTATGACGCATCAAAATACAACAATTCTCAAGGACAACCAAAGAGAAATCGACAATAAAGATAAACAGACAGTAAAGTAAAGTTTCACACAAACAGTAAAGTACATTTAATACTAAACAACATCCCTTTGACATTCAGTAAAGGTTGATGACAGTTTTCTAAATTTTAGCAAACTTCTCGTCATTCATTGTAACTCAAAGAATTTTAATCATTCAAGGATTTTGTGTCCCGTCTCAAAGTAATATACTAGTCCATTAATGATTCACGGCCTTTTATTTTCCGTGTGTAAATTTAATTCGGTAGAAAATTTTTACTACCTACTACCGTTTCCAGTTATTCTGATAAATTGAACCGCCGGACCGTAGAAGGGCATATAGCCCATTTAAATAACATTGGCTATATTCCCTTCTACGATCCGACGGTTCAATTATTATTTAACAAATATACATATAAATTACAAAATAAATGGATTAACACGAATTCATATGAAAAAAAGTAAAACAGAACTATTTATTTTAACACATTTCAAGTTTATGTGAATGCAGAATTATTCTTGTTAACTAATTTCAAGTTACAGACTTAATTCTTAAATGTAAATTTTATTTCTTATTTCAAAATAAAATTCCAATTTCTAATTTTTCTTTACAAATTTTAGATTTAGAAATTATGTACCCTAGTAGAAATTTGTCCTAGTTATTATAAAGGAACTGTCCAGTCGCTCTTATAATTGTCTAGTTACTTTACAAGCCAACTGGCTAATAACTGGAATGGAGTGTCACGCTTTTTTTATCAAGTTATTATCTAGCCCAACTTTATAAATTCTGGTCAACGGTTCTGTAGAAAAACTAGACAAATTAATTCTTTTAAAATACTGAAAATTTAATTAATATTAAGATTTACTGTAGTTAACACATTTATTTCATGCAGTTAATATAAAATTCCTATTTAGCATCAAAGAAATTCAGTAAAAAATATTTTTGGAAAATTTCTGTATCCATTATAATATTATACATAATAAATTGAATAGAATAAAAAATTATATGGTCTTTTATAATTTTTAATTAATTACTTGAATTATTATATAAAAATAATGTAAATAGTAAATTATTACATGTAATTTTCTACACTACTTTTTGATTTTTAATTCAATTTAAAAAAATTCTAAATTCGAATATCCTAAATATTTACTGTTTTCGAACAACTTTCATTTTTTTAATGCACTATTATTAACAATAACACTGAAGCAAATATTTAATTTGCAACGTTAACAATTAATAAATAAATTGACTACTGTAATTAAATTTTTAATTATTTTTATTAATTTACTATAAATTATTAGAAATATTTTTTAATTAATTTTATTATTAATTATGATTAATTGATTATTAATTAAAAATAATAAATTCATTAAATTTTTAATTAATAGAAAATTAGAATTAAACCAAAATAATAAATTAATTAAATTTTTAATTAATAACAAATTAAAATGAAAAGTTTTAAAATATTGGAAAGAATAAGAACAAATTTAACTCTAGCAAATAATCAGTCGAGCTGTCTAGTTATTAGATATTATTGCAGTGTCATCGACACGACAAACTTAGAACTATAATTTCTAGGAGTACTTTAAAGTAACATTAAAAAAACTAGACAATATCAAATTCAACTTGAATCTTTGACGAAGAGCGTTAGTCAGTAACTTTACAGTTATTTACCAGTTCGCCTATAATCAGCGTCCGTGACAAAAACTGTCCAGTAACTTGAACAATCGAGTGGCTCCATGACAAATTTCTACTAGGGTAGTGAAAGTTTAGTGGTTATGTGTCTCCAGTGCAGCATTGCTTTATTACTGGTCTACTAATACTGGTCGGAACAGAAAATCCGTACTATTACATTACTGATTTTCAGTACTAAGCCCGAGCCAGAGGCGTTACCTCCCGATGTTGGACACGTAATAGGCCAGTATGAAAGTCAATACTGGTTGTCATTTTCCCGTACTGAACCAGTAACATGCCTATCGTAAATTTCTACCTGAGACACTTAAGGATACTGTCTTACATTATGCTTTTTTTCTTGAAATAACAAGTAGCTACTTGTTTTCTAAGCACATTATCGACTAAAGGAGTTTTTCAAGATCAAAAACCATATAAATTTAATTAATAAAAATTAATTAACAAATGAATATCATTTATAAAAATAAAGATAAAGTGTTAGTTTTTTTTAAACAATTGTTTATACAATTCAATTTTTTTTTTATTGTTTATACTCCTGCCCTATTGGCCTTACGCACTTCGACAAGAGTCCCCGAGAAATACTTTTTTGGATTAAGCATAACCATTCTACTTTAGAAATTTTTCTATATATTAACCTAATTTTGCGTCTACAGCCGACTTTATTAGGAGTACTCGCATTACGCCTGGACCACCCGTCAACGGGTTTTCTCGCCAGAGAAGAGGGAAACTGTAGAAAACCTCTCTGAGTACAACCGGTTTATCGACAGTCGAGTTCTAATGGTGTGTACCGGACAATAATCGACGGTGCACATCATTATACCTCGACGTCAAACTTCCCGCTCAGATTGTCTCACGTGCCGGAAAAATACCAAGCCAAGTGGGCGCGAACCAAGGGTACTTATACCCTTGGTCCTTAAACGACCACCAACGCCAGGCATCTATCCGACTGAGCCAATCTGTCGGTTTACAATTCTACTTTAAAAAAATGTATTCCAGTTATTTACATCGATTGTTTAAATCCGATGAAGTTTTAAAAAAAGTATCCGCCATATTGAATTCGTTTAAATTTTTATAATTTCTAACTTGAATAATGCATATGTTCCAAAATTTTTATTTTTTTAAAACTACTATCATATTCTTAATTAGAGACCCCAAAAACCCCCGAGTAATTAG